ATTGCACCACTGTATTCCAGCCTGGGTGATAGAGTGAGACCCTGTCTCGAAAGAAAGAAAAGAAAGAACAAAAGAAAAGAAGAAAGAAGGAAAGAAGGAAAGAGAGAGACTGGGAATCAACTGAAAGACCTTGTAAGAAGTCTGTACACGAGACAAGTCAGAGCACATATCTGTGCCCTGTGGGAACTTCATTATCTAGTTTAAAACTGATTCATTCTCTTTAAATTGTGTCTTAAACACATGGAATAATAAAGTCCCTTTAAGAAGACTTGGAAAGAAAAGCTTCTGTTACAAAAATAAAATCAAAATTTAAAAAACCGTCTTTAGAACACAATAGGATATATTCATTAAAATTATTTACTCAACATTAATTTTCTCTGTACTTGCTAATTTTAAATATTTTTAAATATTTGATAAGACATCTGGAATTATTCATTTCATTTATTATGGTAATACCCCAGTGTTTAATGTATTTTCAACACTTTTCTAAAGTGATGTCTCACTTTGGTGTCTTTTTTTCTTTTCCTTTCCTTTCTTTTCTATCTAAAATTAGAAGATGGGTTAAAACACATGGAAATTCAGGGCCAGTGGGGAGGTGAAGCTCTCCTTCTCAAAATGTTTTATTCTAGTTCCTTGAGTTGACTTTTTTTTTCCCCCAATTTGATTCAGGTATAATTGCGGTATGTAATACCGGAAATATTTTTTAAAGATTAGCCAGGTGTGGTGGCGAGTGCCTGTAATCCCAGCTACTCTAGAGGCTGAGGCAGGAGAATCTCTTGAACCCGGGAAGTGGAGGTTGCAATGAGCTGAGATGTCACCATTGCACTCCAGCCTGGGCAACAGGAGTGAAACTCCATCTTGGAAAAAAAAATGTATACAATTTGATCAGTTTTAACATATTTAGTAACTCATGTAGAGTCATGTGTTGCTCAATGACAAGAATAGTTTCTGAGAAATGCATTGTTACACGATTTCATGGTTGTGTGAAATCATAGAGTGTATTGATATAAACCTAGATCGTGTGGTCTACTACACACCTAGGCTGGATGATGTAGCCTATTGCTCCTAAGCTACAAACCTGCACAGTGTGTGACTGCACTGAATACTGCATGCAATTGCAACACAATGGTAAGTATTTGTGTATCTAAATATATTGGCTGGGTGCAGTGACTCATGCCTGCAATCACAACACTTTGGGAGGCCTAGGCAGGCAGATCACTTGAGGTCAGGCATTTGAGACCAGCCTCATCAACATAGTGAAACCCTAACTCCACTAAAAAATACATAAAATTAGCCAGGCTTGGTGGTTCGTATTTGGAGTCCCAGCTACTTTGGAGGCTGAGGCAGGAGAATCCCTTGAACCTGGGAGGTGGATGGAGGCTGCAGTGAGCTGAGATAGCACCACTGTACTCCAGTGTGGGCAACAGAGTGAGACTCTGTCTTAAAAAAAAAACAAAAAGGCTGAGCGAGGTGGCTCACGCCTGTAACCCCAGCACTTTGGGAGGCCTAGGCGGGTGAATCACTTGAGGTCAGGAGTTCGAGACCAGCCTGGGCAACACGGCAAAATCCCATTTCTACAAAAAATACAAAAAATTAGCTAGCGTGGTGGTGTGTGTTTGTAGTTCCAGCTACCCGGGAGGTTGAGGTGGGAGGATTGCCCGAGCTGGAGAGGTTGATGCTTCAGTGAGCTGAGATCATACCACTGTACTCCAACCTGGGCAACAGAGTGAGACCCTGTCAAAGAAAAGAAGGAAAGATAGAGAGGGGAAGAAAGAAGGAAAGAAATAAAGAGAGAGAGAAGGAAGGAAGGAAAAAAGAAAGAAGGAAAGAAAAAGGAAGGAAGAAAGGAGAGGGAACAACGGAAGAGAGGAAGGAAGGAAGGAAGGAAGGAAGGAAGGAAGGTAGGTAGAGAGGGAGGGAGGCGGGCATTTATTTGCAGGGTCCCAAGCAAGAAGGACCAGGTAGCAACTTGCTCAAATTCTGACCTCACCAATGGCTTACAGGCAAAAGTTTTTAATGGCAGAGATAAATTTCAGAAAAGCAGAAGCTACAGGCAAAATTGTGAATGAATACATGGAGATTACACATTGGTTTAGGCCTAAAAGGGTGTGATATCTTGAGGTGAGGGCTTACTGGTCATACATAGACTCAGAGATTTTCTGATTTGCAATTGGTTAAGGAGGAGAAATTTTGTTTAAAACTTTGGGGTCAGCAGAGAAAAATGTTAACTAAAGAACAGTGCTCAGAATTCAGTCTTCAGTTACCTCTTATCTCAGGCCTTCAGTGGAGGTCCGAATTTCTGAAACACAATGCAGGGACATATGTATGGTAAGATGTTATCTTTAGTTTCTATAGGGAAAGCAAACATCTCTGGAACTCCAACTTTCTTTCTTTCTTGGCTTATTGCTTTAGGCTACTATTACTTTTTTTTTTTTTTTTTCCTGAGAGAGTTTTGCTCTTGTTGCCCAGACTGGAGTGCAACGGTGTGATACTGGCTCACGGCAATCTCTGCCTTCCGGGTTCAAGCAATTCTTCTGCTTCAGCCTCCCAAGTAGCTGGGATTACAGGCACGCACCACCACGCCCAGCTAATTTTGTATTTTTAGTAGAGACAGGGTTTCACCATGTTGGCCAGGCTGGTCTCGAACTCCTGACCTCAGGCGATCCACCCGCCTTGGCCTCCCAAAGTGCTGGGACTACAGGCCCTACTGTGCCCGGCCCTACTATTACCTTTGGTTTTAACAATTGACTTATTTACTTCTGGGGCTAGCAAGATACCTGGAATTTCCCTGGAAAAAAACAGAATTTTCCTTAATTTCCATTCTGTGGGATCCACAGGCCCCTAAAAAGACGTTCATGTTCCATGTCACTTCTCAGCTGGTGGACAGCCTCTTCTCTACCTGTGGGAATTCAACATGTTGACCCATCCTCCACTGTCCCCAGGCAGCCCATGACCTTGGTGGTCAGGATGGACTCTTAGGATCTGGAGTGGTGGGGGGAGGGTGGTGGTGTTTGGAGCCTTCTTGACCCTGGGGAAGCTGCAGGATGACACCTTCAATTTTCTCTACAGTGCCGCGGCAACCGGCAATTGCATTTAGCACTTGTTTGTCCTCTCTGCGGGCTAAGTGATTGGTGACACATGGAGACCCTGATTTTTTCTGAAGGGCTCTTTCACACGATCTCCAATAAAGTTCTAAGTGAATCATGCCTGTTCGGGAAAGGATAATACCAGTGTGAGGCCCAGGAGTTTCTCAGAAGAAATTCCAGCTGGATGAGCTTTTAAGGAAGGAGATGAAGTCAGCATTTGGAGACAATGAATTAGATGGCGGGATATGTCACCGTAATAATGAATAATGAATGAGCAGAAAGAGGCTGTAATTCACAGAGTGGGAGAGGAGACTGGAAACTTTATGGCCTTGTAGTGCCTGGGGAGACAGCGTCTGAGACATGCCTTGGCCTTGTGAAAAGAAACCTTCTCAAAGAAATGCTGTTCCGAAAAAATGCCTATTATCGGGAAGAGTGTCCACATTTCCGAGAGACAAAGGATTTATGGCTGTAATAGAAACCCTCTCCATGCAACCCCATCCTTCTCCGTCCCTCCCCTTGCACACTGTAAGATCTTGTCAGCCAGAATTAGGGCAGTTTTGGGGAAAGGCCATTGCTCTACCCTCTCAAAGAGAGGTAGGAGGCGGGACTTGACTCGAGAGGTGGGGCTTGGACACCAGACCAAACTGAGGACTAGTTAAAACAGGGACAGGGCCTGGCATGCTGGCTCACACCTGTAATCCCAGCACTTTGCGAGGCTGAGGCGGGTGGATTACCAGAGGTCAGGAGTTCGAGACCAACCTGGCCAACATGGTGAATCTCCATCTCTACTAAACATACAAAAATTAACTGGGCATGGTGGCCGGTTAAGTAGTAGCTGTAATCCCAGCTACTTGGGAGGCTGAGGTGGAAGAACTTCTTGAACCTGGGAGGCTGAGGTTGCAGTGAGCCAAGATTGCACCACTGCATTCCAGCCTGGGTGACAGAGTAAGATTCTGTCTCCCGCCAAAAAAAAACACCCAAAAAACAAAAAACAAGCACAGGGTAGAAGCAGCTTTCCATAAGACACACCCACCAGTGTGCCATGTCAGTTTACCACTGACATGGTAACACCTGGGAGTTTCTGCCCCTTTCCAAGACAATGACTCAACGACCCGAGTTACTACCCCTTCTCTAGGAATTTTTGCATAGGCCGGTGCAGTACACACCTGTGATCCCAGCACTTTGGGAGGCCAAGGCAGGTGGATCACCTGAGGTCATGATTTTGAGACCAGCCTGGCTAATATGGTGAAACCTCGCCTCTAACAAAAAATACAAAAATTAGCTGGGCATGGTGGTGCATGCCTGTAATCCCAGCTACTCCAGAGGCCAAGGTGGGAGAATTGTTTGAACCTGGGAGGCAGAGGTTGCAGTGTGCTGAGGTCACAACACTGCACTCCAGCCTGGGCAACGTGGGAGGAAAGGTTAGGGTATATATTGCCCCACTGCCTACCTGCCTGCCTGGCCATGGTTCTGACACTCTCCTCCTGACTGGCAGCCCTGTCCTATCACTAGGTTGTAACAGCTTTTGACTTATGCTAAATCCTGGGTGTTCACTATCCATGAACTCCACTCAAACCTCTGTACTCAGCCCTTTCCTCCACCTCTTTTCAGCTGGGCCCTCTGAGTGTGCATTGCGTTTTTCACCAGGCTCCCACCTCAGCTAGGCTGCCACATGCAGATTTCACTGCTGCCTGCCCATATTCCCTGGGACTTACCTTCTCACTGCACACCGGCCTGATATCCCGCTGCCAGTAGCCACATCACCTTGCCCTAGGGCTTTCTCTGAAGCTGTTCCACATCTAGGGCATTATCGCCTCCTGAAAGTCATCCTTAGTGACTTTCAGGAGTTAGTTGATAAATGCATGAGTCTGCCCTCTTGGGTGGGTAACTCTGAAGCATTTATGACACGTTCCAGAGAGTTCTGCAGTAGGCCAACCTTCATTGCCTACAGGGGTAGCTGGCTTAACAATACACTCTTTATTGGCCACCTTCCCTCCTGTATGACTTGGCTAGGGCTGCCATAGATTGGGTGGTTAAGCAGCAGCAGTTTATTTTCTCACAGTTCTGCAGGCTGGATGTCTAGATCAAGGTGCTGTCAGGGTTGGTTCCTGGTGAGGGCTTGCTTTCCGGCCTGCAGATGGCCACCTTCTAGCTGCATCTTCACATGGCCTTTCCTCTGTGCTTTCAAGGAGAGAGAGAGAGAGAGAGAAAGAGAGAGATTGAGAGAGAGGGAGAGAGATTCTGGTGTCTCTTCCTCTTATTATAAGGACATCAGACCTATGAGATTAGGGACCTACCCTTATAACCTCACTTAACCTTAATGATCTCCTTAAAAGCCCTATCTCCAAATACAGTCTTATTGGCGATTAGGGCTTCAACATATAAATTTGAACAGGGACACAATTTAGTCCAAAATACCTCCCTTGTTTCAGTGGTTCCCCTGAAAGTGTCTCCCGGGATCAGCTCCCAGGAAAACTTTAGGACCCTGAACGCTTGTCTTGGGTCTGCTCTAAGACAATGCTTCTCAGATTGTCCTTTCCAGACTGCAGGCTCTCTGACAGCAGATGAGGGTCCTCCCACAAGAGGGTCCTCCCACAAATGCTCTGCAACACAGGTGACAGGCCAGCGGGGTGAGCCCCAGCTCCTACCAGGGGTCACAGCCTGGGGCAATCTCTGTCCTCCCATCTTCCAGCCTCTGCTGCATTTCTGACATCTTCATTAACCCCATCGGGGAGTTGCCCCCCACGAGGGGAGAGGAAGCCATCCAGGGGCTTTCATTATCAGGGCCTCAAATCTGGGGCCAGATGCAGCCAATGGGTAGGGTACAAGAAGGCCTTCTACATCCCACCCTGGAGGGCAGAGGTCTGGGCTGTGGCTGGAACAAAGCCTGTCCTGGTGACCCCTCTCAGACCCTGGCCCACCCCAGTCCTGCCCTGGAAGACAAACGAGGCTGTCCCTGTCTCTCAGGGGTCTAGGATCCTGGACACTGTGTGCTTTGAAGGGAAAGACACCTCCGAGAGCAGTCTGTGGCTGCACATTTATTACTGATGAAGCCCTTGGGAGCCCTCTCTTGAGCATTTCCATTCCACTGCATTTCCACGAGCCACCACGCCCAGCCAAGATGTATTTTCAATGTATCCTCCACAGAGGGTGTCACATGCTGCATTAACTTTTATGTTTTGTTTTGTTTTGTTTTGTTTTTTTTCTAAACTCAACTCCACACAGATGAGCTAGTTGATGAAAACAAGTCTAAAATCAGTAATGCCCTCATTGTCCCCACACTGAGAACCAACATGCAATGAGTGGATTAGGCCACTATGAAAGATTTAGATGTTGCAAAGCAGTGTTGGGAAATACGCTCTCTTTCCACCATTCTCAGTGTTAATGCCTTTAAACCAGGAGTGGGGAACCATTCCTCAGTACCAACTGGAGGCATGGCATTTGTATATAGCAAACGGACCTAACAAGTTCTAAACCATGCTGAATTTAGGGATTATGTGAATGTTGTTAAATGAAAGTTTGCATAACCTGGGATTCACCAGCTTTGAAAAGAAAATGCTGGAAACAAAAAATACAATACAATACAATACAATGGTCTAGTACATTGAGCTAGGAGCTCAGCAGAGCTAGGTAGTGTCCAGGCCCCATCAGTAGCACCAACTGCATGTGATATGTACAAAAGACAATACCCAGAAAATTGGCCGGGCGCGGTGGCTCACGCCTGTAATCCCAGCACTTTGGGAGGCTGAGATGGGCGGATCACGAGGTCAGGAGATCGAGACCATCCTGGCTAACACGGTGAAACCCCGTCTCTACTAAAAAATACAAAAAACTAGCCGGGCGAGGTGGTGGGCGCCTATAGTCCCAGCTACTCGGGAGGCTGAGGCAGGAGAATGGCGTGAACCCAGGAGGCAGAGCTTGCAGTGAGCTGAGATCCGGCCACTGCACTCCAGCCTGGGTGACAGAGCGAGACTCCGTCTCAAAAAAAAAAAAAAAAAAAACAACCCAGAAAACTAAGAGCATGACCCACACTTCCTAGAGATCCAACCTTTCTGAAATAAATGGTAAAGAAAGACAAGATTCCAAATCAGCATTCTCTCTTGGAAGAATTTGAAGGTTGGGAAGAAATCCTCCCTTCTACTTTCCCATCTGGAGACAGAATTGCAGTTGTCATGCTCCATGTCCCCTGCCATCCCAGAGCCAAGCACTTGACCTAACACATAAGTGAACTTGCAAGAGAGCCCTCTCAAGCACCTTGCTTTCCTCCCTTTAGTCTAAGCTGCTGAATATGTGATAGCGTGAGTCCTTAACGTCAAGATTGCCTCAAAACACATTGATAGAGCTCACCCAGTAGCTTAGTTGTATTTAATATTGCCATATTAAAAATAACATTTCTGCACTGCCAAAGACACTGCTAAAAAATAAAAAGACAAGCCGCAGAATGGGAGAAAATATTTGCCAAACACATAACTGATAAAAGACTGGTATCAAAAATATGCAAAAAAATCCCAGAGTTCTTAAAACTCAAGAATAAGAAATGAACAACCCAATTATAAAATGGCAAATGATACAGATCCTTACTAAAGAACATATAAGCATGGCAAATAAGCACATGAAAATATGCTCAACAGCATATATCATTGAGAAATTGAAAAGAACAACGGCATACTGCCACACACATATTAGAATGGCTAAAATCCAAAACAGCGGCTACACTAAATGCTGGTGAGGATATAGAGTAACAAGAGCTCTCATTTATTGTTGGTGAAAATGCAAAGTTTATGACTAGTTTGGAAGACAGTTTGCCAGTTTCTTACAGAGCTAAATATACACTTACACACAATCCAGCAATCACACTCTTTGGCCTTAATCCAAGAGGTGAAAACTTTCATCTGCACAAAACTCTGCAGGTGACTGTTTAGAGCAGTTTTATACATAATTGCCAAAACATGGAACAAAACAAGATGGTCTTCAATAGGTAAATAATGTTCTTAATAGGTAAATAATGTTCTTCAATAGGTAAATAAATAAACTAGTTGTGGTGCAACCATACAACATTATTCACTGATTTTTAAAAAATGAGATTTCAAGGCTTGAAAAGACATGAGGAACCTTAAATACATACGGCTGTGAAAGAAGACAGTCTGAAAAGGCTACATACTACAGGATTCCAACCGTATGACATTTTGTAAAAGGCAAAACCTTGGACACAGTAAGAAGATCTGTGCTTTCTAAAAGTTTGGGGGAAAAAGGGGTGAGATGAATAGATGGGGTACAGTGGATATTTTAAGACAATAAAACTATTTTGTATAATGCAATAATGGATACGTGTCATGTCATTATGCATTTGTCAAAATCCACAGAATGTAAAACAGAAAACATGAATTTCAATGAAAACTTTAGATTTTAGTTAATAATAACTCTTCTATATTAGTTCATTAAGAGTAACAAATATGCTACACTAATGTAAGGTGTTAATAATAGAGGAGAAGCTGGGTGTAGGGAGAGGATATATGGGAACTCTGTAAGTTCCGCTCAATGTTTATGTAAACTCAATACTCACCTAAAAAAAAAGCATATTAAATATCCCAATGATGACTATCAAAAGTAGAATAGATTTAAAAATTATACTATGTTCATATAATTGAATATACTACTATGCAGCAATTAAAATAAATAAATTCAGATGTTAAATGTCACCATAATGGTAATCACAAAAAGAAGCTATAGAATATACACAAAGGAAAATAAAAAGTTAAAATATTTTACTAAAAAAAATCAACCCAATACATTAGAAGAAAATAATGTAGAAAATGTTAAACAAAAAGACAAAGTATACAGAAAACAAATAACAAAATGACAGAAGTCTACTTATGAATAATTCTTCTAAATGTAAATGGATTGAACTATCGAATTAAAAGGCAGAGATCAGCAGAACAGACTAAAAAACATGATCCGGCCGGGCGCGGTGGCTCAAGCCTGTAATCCCAGCACTTTGGAAGGCCGAGACGGGTGGATCACGAGGTCAGGAGATCGAGACCATCCTGGCTAACATGGTGAAACCCCGTCTCTACTAAAAAATACAAAAAACTAGCCGGGCGAGGTGGCGGGCGCCTGTAGTCCCAGCTACTCCGGAGGCTGAGACAGGAGAATGGCGGGAACCCGGGAGGCGGAGCTTGCAGTGAGCTGAGATCCGGCCACTGCACTCCAGCCTGGGCTACAGAGCCAGACTCCGTCTCAAAAAACAACAACAACAACAACAACAACAACAACAAAAACATGATCAACTATCATGTTTGTGCAAGACTCACATTAGATTGAAAGACACAACTAGGTTGAAAGTGAAAAGAGAAAAACAGTACTTCAAGCAAATAATAAGCAAAAGAGATCTGCGTTGGCTATATTAATATCAGACCAAATAAGACTTCAAATTGAAAAATGTTACAAAAGAAAACAAAGGTATTACGTGTTCAAATCCAATAAGCAAACAAAAGTGAGGTTCTGACTTTCAGTAATGCTAGAGTTGCTTGTTAAACACTCTCACAGGTAACAATGATAAAATCTGGATAAAATATTAGGTACAGTTACATAGGAATGCACAACCATATATAATACATGTATGTGTGTGCGGTAACAGAATGAGGATTTCAACTGTGTCCACTGTAGGTGAGGTAGGTATTGCTGTTTGAATCTAATCAGATTAACCCCTCTTCAAATAACAATCCTCTTCAAAGGAATACAACAGAATTTAGAGTCTCTATAACTACTACTTATAATTTCTAGTACACAATATCAAAATTCATGAAATGTGTGAAGAAATGTTAAAATGTAATCTATACGCAAGATAAAAAGCAGGCAGCAGAAGCTAATTCTAAGATGTCCAAGACGATGTCATCAGCAGACAAGGGTTTGAGAGCAGCTATTATAAGTATGTTCATGGGGATAAAAGAAAATATCCTCATAATGAATTAACTCACGTGGAGCCTCAGCAGAGAAATGGAAATGATAAAAAGAATGGAATAGAGAGATAATGAAACGAAAAACTAAAAAGACTGTTGAGTTTATAAACAGAGTAGAAACAGAAGACAGCAATAGAAATTATCCAATCTGAAGAGTGAAACAAGTTTGAAGAAAATGAAAAGTGCCTTAGAGACCTGTGGAATGACTGAGTCTGAGGAGAGAGAGGACAGAAAAATTAAATATGATACAAAAGCAAACACACAATAGCCGAAAACTTGCAAAATTTAGTCAAACCCCCAAATTTGTATATTCAAAAGGTGAGCACACTTCAAAAAGAAAATCCACATAAAACCACACCAAGGCCCTATTAGAAGGCTGGCAGGGCAGGGTTTTCAAGGGACTTGTTATGATTTCTCATTTTCACTATTTATAATAATGGACAATATGCTCTCCTTAGAGTTTTCTTCCTGCAGAAAGTCCGATACGTCAGGCGCAGATGACTTTTTAGTCTAGTTTTCAAGGTTTAATTTCTTACCTTGGAAATCAACTAAATTTGTTTCTTTAAAATCTTGCAGTAAATTTGATGCTCCAGAAAGATGCCCAGGGAGATTCTGTCCTGCTGCGTCCGCCCTGTACAGAACTGACGCTGTGCCTCCGCCAGTTTCAGAAGCGTGTAGCTGTGGAGTACTTAAGAGTTAATCTTAAAAAGCAAATAGAAAAATGGATTCAAAAAAATGATCACTGTTAATTTCCACCGGCAAAGTCTTAAAAGTGGTACCAAAGAGAGTATTTAAAAATGGATAAAGATTTTCTAGGGAACCCTATTCAGGGCAGAAACACAGACACTGTCCAAACCTCACCACACAAACTTTCCTCATGTGTTCGGAGGGACCAAGGCGCTCTCTGGTCCTGCACCTGCGTTAATTACGGCAGGGAGGTCCACACTAGGACCCCAAGGCCTGGGAACCAGCCTGGGTAGGGGGCAGAGAAGTGGTGGATGTGGCTCCCAAAGTAGTTTAAGGGGGTCCCTTCCCCATGGCTGTTTCCTGACTGAATGCAGCAAGGTCAGGCCTTTCCCCTGGGACATTTTCTCCTCTTCATCACGGTGGCAGGAGCGTCTGCGTGCGAGGCCTGACCCAGACGCGGGCCATACAGCCAGCCCGGGGTCCAGTAGGTGCATCTGGGGAGCAAAGAGGTGCAGGAAAAAGGTGGTTTTCAAAAGTGAAGTGCCAGGTTACCAGAGACTGGGTACCTTCACATGAGGCAGCAAACTAACGGTTTCGGACACTCAAAAGGGAGCTTCCCTCGCGGGACCAAGTGGCAGCACTGCGCATGTGGCGAGGGGAGGGACAATAGACGGCGGGGTTAAAAGGAGAGGCCCCTCAGAGGGACGGGGTGGGGTCCAGACGGCCAGTGGCGGGTGGGGGGCGGGGAGGGAAGAAACGAACGTTACCATGGCAACCCTGCGGCTGAGGCTGCGAGAAGCTCTTGGCCTCTACCTGTTCTGTGGGAAATTAAACTTTGGGCACAACAAGTCATGAAGTCGGCACTTTGGGGAGACACCGTGTCACAATGACAAGGTGAGATCGGCCGCTCCTGCCAAGCTGTCTCCTCGAGGGCAGGAGAGGTTTGTGAACAGCCAAGCTTCCCTCCGCACGGCGGAACTGCACTGGAATCCTGGAGGAGCTCGGTGGCGGCGGGACCTTTGCTGGGAATGAGGGGAACTGTAGTCCCTTATCCGCACCCAGCTGTTAGTTGTAGGCTTGCAGGACTACAGTCCCAGCGTGAAACGGGATTGTAGGTGGTGCAGATCCCTGGAGGGAGACATAGCGCGGTGCCCTACTGCAGGACATGCTGGCAAGAGTAGTGTCTTAGCCGCTCTCGGCCGTTGGTCGCAGGGCTGCGGGACTACAATCCCAGCATGCAACGGGAGTGGGGTTGGTAAGGACACCTGGAGGGAGGCATGCTGGGAGAAGTAGTTTCTTAACTGCTTTTGGCCTTTGTTCGCAGGGCTTCGGGACTACAATCCCAGCATGCAACGGGAGTAGGGTTTGTGATGATACTTGGCGGGAAGGGGAGGGCGGTGCGCGCCTCGTCAGGCATGCTGGGAGGAGTAGTTTTTTAACCGCTTTCGGCCATTGGTCGCGGGGCTACCGGCCCACAGTCCCAGCAATCGCCGGGCTAGCGGGTGGTGTGCAGCCTCAGAGGGAGGAGCAGGGTTGTGTGGGCCTGTCTGCTTACAAACCTATGCTGGCCACTGATTCTGTGCCACCCTACCTAAGGGAAGTGAGTCCGGAGAGGGACTTGAGGGGCAGGTCTGAGCTGAGTAGTGAGGTGGTTGTGACGCTGCGAAGTGCACCTCGCCTTTGCCCAAATCGGGCGGGTCTCAGCCTCACTCCACCTCCCGCTGCTCAGCTCGGTTTCCCTCCAAAGCGTCCCGCCTCCTTCGGCCCAGGGAGCCGCCTGCTTTCCTAAACTGCTGTGGAACTGGCCTGAGGCCCCAGACGCTGTCCATTGTGCTGCTGCCCTCCACGTCCTCCACAGAGCGCCAGTTCACCCGCTTTTGGGAGAACTCTGCCGTTTTGCAGGGGGGTGACATGGCCTTTGGCTTCCTGGAAATGTCACCCCCACCAGCGCCTTTTACATGGATGTGAATTTTGAGACATGAGGGAGGGTAATTATTGATTTACTCAGGAGATGAGCAGAGGAGAAAATCCTAATTTCCAGGCATGTGTCCTGAGCCAGGGACATGCTGGCCAGACCCTGCGCCCCCAGTGCCGCCAGAGAGCAGCCTACTGCCCTGGTTTCTGTGGAAGTCCCTTCATGCTGCTAGGCCCCAGCCCAGTCAGGTGACGGTGGGGGTGACCCATGGGTTTCTGGAGCTGGGCCGGTGGTCCTGGAAGGGCTGGCCCATCCCCCTTGGAGAGGGTCTTTGTGCCAAGGGATGCCCACAGAGGCCTGGGTACCAGGAACACAGCTCAGGCAAGGGGCCTTTCTTCCAGATTTGGCTGGAAGGAAGGAAGACTTGGTCAACTTTTCCACCCAGCCCATCTGGCCCTTGCAGGGCTGCACCGCATGGACCTGGGTTCCTGGAGTCCTCGAGGGCTTTGTGTGGCCCACTTGTTCTGATACTGAGGACATCTCTGCAGGCTGTTAATTTCAGAGCAGGGAGTTTGTGCAGACTGGGGCATGGGTGCTGTCAGGGTACCCCAGGCTGCTCTGAGGACAGCACCCCAGTGTTCATCTTGGCTCAGGGCTTCCTGCCTCATGCCCTTTCCCCAGGGATATTTGGCCTGGGCTCAAGCCCTGGTCCAGAATTCAGTTGGGAAAGGCCGTAACTCTCACCTCGCCCTCTCGCCACCTAATGTAAGAGTCTGACTCCACAATGGGTGAGACGCCCCCGCACACTGGTCTCTTCAGCCGTGCAGGGCCATCCACTCCATGCCGTGAGTTCCCACACTGAACTGAACTGTGTTCTGGCTCTGAGCTGGGGCCTCTCCTGTGCCCTTTCCCTGAATCCTCTCTGGGTCTGAGAGACTGATTCTCTCTACTCCCTGGCTTAAGTCTTGACATCCTTGGAGGGATTCTCAGAAGTGAGGGGCCCCTGCTGCTCTCTGGGGCTGTTGGTACTCGCAGGTGTGGATGTTGGCTTGCACTGATAACTGAACCCCTCCAGTGCCCTTCAGGGGTCCTTCCAGAGCAGGAGTGGTAGGGTGTGGGGGAGTGCCTTAGAGGGGTCTTGCCCTCATCCTCTGCCCTGTCTCTGAGATGTGTCCAGTAAACCCAAGGTCAGCATGTCAGGAATGAAATAATGTCTTTTGCAGCAACTTCAATGAAGCTGGAGGCCATTATTCTAAGTGAAATAACTCAGGAATGGAAAAATCAAATACCATTATTTCTCACTTATAAGTGGGAGCTAAGCTATGTGTATGCAAAGGCATAGAGAGTAATATAATGGACTTTGGAGACTCAGAACAGAGGATGGGAGGTGGATGAGGGGTGAAAAACACTACCTATTTGGTACAATATATACTACTCAGGTGATAAGTGCACTAAAATCTCAGAATTCACCACTATATAATTCATCCAGGTAAACAAAACCACTTGTACTGTAAATGATACTGAAATAAAAATTAAAACAAACATAAAATTATATAATTATAAACAGCAATTATAATAAAAAGCTTTTTTTTTTTTTTCTTAAAAAGAAAAACCCAGTGCCACAGTTTTGAGTTCTGGTGTTTTGGATAGAAAGCCCCTTTTGCTCAGTAACACACACTACTGGAGAAGCAAAATCGTGAAAATTCAAGAAGAACCTTAGCATAAACACTACCTACATGAGTATCGCGGATATGTTTTAAAGACAAAGATCCGTGTTAGACTGGGTCAGCTTTGTGCTTGGTCATTTTACAATTCTTCTCCCCTAAAATACAAGTCATGAGTTGCCATGGTGATTATTCCAAATGCATTGTGATCATATGGAACTGGTGATGTATTCTAATTTCCCTCTCAGTTACAAAATGAGCCCGATGTTGTTAGCCATCAAAATCTCACCAACACCTACTACTTCAGTTTCAACTCTGGTTCCTATTTCAAGGAAATCACTCAAGGTTGCAAATCACAAAAAGACAAAAGTATTTTAATGAGCCAAAAAACTTAAAAAATTATACCCTCCTGAAGCCATGTAATTTGGTATTTATTTATTTTATTGTCTATTCAGGTTCATAAACCTGCAACTGTAGCAAAATATACCATTCATGATAAGTTAATATTTATTGAATAGTAAAATAAATACATGGTAAGGGTAGATCTGGCTTCAGGTATAACTGTAATCAGGGCTGAAGTGGTATGTCCAGTAGTCAAGGACAAATGTCAATTATAATCTGACCTCCTCGAAACACACAATACTTTAAATGTCTGAAAAGGGGAATAAATGAAATGAAAGTTATGAATTAGATTAAGAAGGAATTAAACCTGGTTTAAAAATAGATAAAGACATACAAATATAAAAAATACTGAAGAACAATTAGCATAGATAGAGGAGCACTAAAAGTATGATAATGTGTTTAAAAATACTAGTTTCTGAGTTAAGTTTCAGAGACCTGACAGATACAGAGACCTGACAAAGAGTTGCGCCTACACATTAAACAAGCAAACAAATCCCTGGAGAAACTGCAAATGAATGGATGGTTTCTCCTTAGCCCTTTAGAGAACTGAGGTCACGGGGCAGACTACAAACCCAACATCAGGGGATGCACAAGCTTGTAGGTCACAAAGGCCCCAGGTTTTTATGTGCACCCTGAAAACCATGAAAACTGATACAATTAAGCCAGAACTTTTGAACTAGTTCCTGGTGGCTGTGTGTGTGTGGGTGAGGAGAATGTAAAACTTTGGAGTCTACAGACATAGGGTTTACACCATTGTGTATAATTTTTCTAGGAAACCTACAAGGCCTGTCAGGGAAGCAGGATAGAATCCTGAGAATGCTTCCCCCACAGTACTGATAGGGAGGGACCACTATCCCATCCACTGCTACAACTCTGGAGACACGCTCCTCCCACCTCCCCTATATGACACAAGGCCTACTCTGCAGAGAAAGAGCATCCAAACCTGAGCCACAAGGCACTGGGGAAAAACTCCCGAAACTGAGGGTGGAGAAACAAGGCCAACACCCGCATTTCTGCACAGATGCATCTCCCATAAATGAAGGGGTAGCCTGCCTCTCCACACCTGTGGGCGTTTCTCGTTAGGTGGAATGAGAGACTTGAGAAAAGAAATGAGACACAGAGACAAAGTATAGAGAAAGAAAAAGTGGGCCCAGGGGACCGGCGCTCAGCATACAGAGGACCCACGCTGGCACCGGTCTCTGAGTTCCCTTAGTATTTATTGATAATTATCTTTACCATCTTAAAGATAAGGGAGTGGCAGGACAATAGGATCATTTTAGGGAGAAAATTAGCAGTAAGACATATGGATAAAGATCTCTGTGACATGAGTAAGTTCAAAGGAAAATGCTGTGCCTTGATATGCATATGCAAACATCTCCATAAACCTCTTAGCAGCATTGCGCCAGCAAGTCCCACCTTATGCTGTAAGGCGGTTTTCTCCTTGCTCAGTAAACAGAACATACAATCGGATTTTACACCGAGATATTCCATTGCCCAGGGACGGACAGGATTTTTAAGCAGCAAGCTGCCTTCAGGCACTTGTTTAACAAAGACACATCTTGCACAGCCCAAAATCCATTAAACGTTGAGTCACCACAGCACATGTCTCTTGCAAGAACAAGGTTGGGGGTAGGGTCACAGATTAACAGCATCTCAAATACAGAACAAAATGGAGTCTCCCATGTCCACTTCTTTCTAGATAGACACAGTAACAGGCCGATCTCTCTTTTCCCCACACTAAAGAAAATAAATTATTAATTGGCAGGGCACTGTTGCAGGCCAACTTCAACTGGGAGTTAAGAACATGGAGAAGGAGCATCTATCCCCTACCATGGACAAGGAGGGACAGGAATGTGCTCTTGTCCTGGCATTGCATCTACAGGAGGGGCAGGAAACTCTTCAAATGTCAGTAACCCCACACCCCAGCTGACAGTGCTAAGTCTGAGGCTTCCTCAGAACATTAGAGATCTCCTCACTCCCTCACCACTGCCACCAGGCTAAGAAGCATGGAGTCAAAAGAACAGTGGAATATAGCTGGGCCAAGTGCAAGAAACCATGTGTGGGAAGAGGCACAAAGGGAAGGCACAGCAAACCCAGGAAATATTAGTAAACTACCATGAGAGGGGTTTGAATTTCCTGGTCTTCAGAAGGTTATTACTGCCATAACGACTTTTAATCCCTGCCTACCCTCTCAGCTACATGACCACAAACCCCTACACTAAGGCCTATCTGAGGGAAAATTGCTCATAGATAACCTAAAAACTATTTATCCCCTTTCAATGTCAGTGGGCTGATGAAAAAAATAAAAATAATAACCCATTTACCCCAATGCACTATCTTATACAACATATGCTATTGCTTTTAACAAAAATTAGAAGCCAACACATCCCTTTTTATCTTTAGAGAGATCTTTATTTGTGCTAAAACCAAATTAAGGAATTCAGGAGGCTGAATCAGTAAGGAATTCAGGAGGCTGGGACCTCAGACCACGCTGGGCGCCCACCTCCCGCCCGCCGTGGCCCAGCCGCTGAGGCTACGGGTAAGGCGACCTTGGGCAGGCGGCCAGGCCCGCGACATCGAAATCAGCGTCCCTTCTCCATGGAGCGCGGGAGGATGTAGCTGCAGCCGGACGAGCGCTGGCACCCACCGGGCACCGCGCATGGATCCCGCGTGCACATTGTCGCAGCCACGGCGTCCCGGGCATGCACCGCCGCCTCGGCTCCCTGCTTTGCTGCTCCATCCCCAAGGCGGCTTTGGGTTCCGAATGTCCCAGTTCCTCAGCAGCCAGAGGCGGGAAGCCCAGGGACGGCTTTACAGCAGCGCAGGCTGCGGTGCCGCTGGGGCGCCGGCGTGGCGGAGGCGGTGGTGGTCGTGTGTCCCATGGACACCATTAAGGTGAAGATCATCCACGGCCAGACCCCTCCAGACCTCCAGTGCAGAGGAGTGTCCCACCGGGTTAGGGAGATGTGCGGAAACAAGGGGAACTCACCGGGGCTTCCAGCGCAGAAGCAGGGCTGGAACCAGGCCGTGCGCCTCTTCTCCTGACCCCCCTGCACAGCTGGTACCGAGGGGACAACCGAGCAAGCCCATGAACTGGCTGGTCGCTGGGGCATTCGGAGCCATTGTGGGCGCAGCCAGTGTCTTGGGAAACGCTCCCATGCACGGGATCAAGACCCGGATGCGGGGCCTGGAGAAGCACAAACGCTGAACACACGGGACTGCCGCTGCAGATCCTGAGGAAGAGGGGCTCAAGGCCTTCTACGACGGCACTGTCCCCCGCCTGGGCCGGGTCTGCCTGGATATGACCACAGTGTTTATCCTCTGCCATGAGGTGGAAAGCTGCTCAACAGTGTGGAAGACGGACTAAGCCCAGAGGGGCCGTGAGGGACCGCCCCAGGGATCTCCAGAGCAGCCACCACCCTTGTCTCACAGGATTCCAGTGCAGAAATACCAAGCGGCCGCTGCCCAGGTCCCTCGAGCTCTGTGCCCTGCCCACATTGTGGCATCAAGTCTGTGTGTCCCCTAGTGCCATGTCTCCCCGTGGTCTGTATGTGACACTGGCCCTGTGTCCACACGTCTGGCCCGGCCGTGGCTGGTTGTCCGTCTGGTCTGTGAGTCTGTGCCCACTTGTCTGTATGCTTACTGTGAGCCCTGGGCCTGGGATCCGCCTGCCTCTGCCTCCCAAAGTACTGGGAATACAGGTGTGAGCTACTGTGCCTGGCTGGGTTGGAAGAAATTTGATATCACATATACTTTGCATACTGGAAATATATTTATAATATTTTAAATGTAAAAAGTATTATAAATATATTTACATTTATAAATATTAATATAAAATATTAAATTTAAATATTTTAAATGTTTAAGTAAAAACAAATGGGGAAAAGGTATCAAAATAATTTTTGAAAGAGCAGGAAACTATAAACTGAGCAAGCAAATTTGGAAGAGTCAAATAGAAATTAAATAATTTAAACATAAAGAAATTTAACATACAATATGTGAATTAATTATAAAATTAGACTAAGTTGATGATGAGAGAGTTAGTAAACTGGATTAATGAACTGGAATTTTGAGCAGAATGAATATAACCAAATAAAGAGAAACAAAATAATAGCAATATGAATGTAATTATACACATGCGAAGAATAGAATGACAAAGAATAAAGCACAATTATTTCACCTGAATCCATACAAATAATAAATCATACTAATAAATAATTATTTACAAATTTCTAAAATTAAAAACCAGACGTGTGCCTAAAAGAGAGCAATGAAGAGGCCATGTGCAGTGGCTCACGACTGTAATCTCAGCACTTTGGGAGGCCAAGGTGGGTGGATCATTTGAGGTTAGGAGTTCGAGACCAGCCTGGCAACATGGTGAAACCTCATCTCTACTAAAAATACGGAAAAATTAGCTGGGCATGGTGGTGGGTGCCTGTCATCCCAGCTACTCCGGAGGCGGAGGCAGGAGAATCGCTTGAACCTAGGAGGTGGAGGTTGCAGTGAGCCAAGATTGCACTATTACACTCCAGCCTGGGTAACAGAGTGAGACTCCATCTCCAAGAAAAAAAAAAATGAGAGAGCAATAAAAAAAGATATCCAACATGATAAGTCAAACTGCATAACACCAAAGAGAATGAAGAAAATTAAAAACCATGAGACAGAGAATCTACACAGGTGAGAGTAAAATCTCCACAGCCCATGCAGAGCCAGAAAACTGAGAAGGAAATATTAAGAGTGCTGAAAAATTATTGTTCAACCTATAATTGAATACATAGCTAGCATATTTTTAATAAATAAGGAAGGGTAAACTAAATAACCTTCAAAAATAAAACACACACATACACACACACACACACACACCAGAGAAATGTTATCTACCAACAGGAGCAGCTTAAGTATACACTTCAAGAAGATAGAAAAGTTGTCTTATATAAAATTTAGGGAATCAAAATTAAATATAAGAAACTTGTGGACACAGGGAACTATTATGGTGGACTTTGAACTAAAGAAACCACCAAGTTCTTGGCAGCATAGGTTTCAAAAATATTTAGATGAAATAAAAGTGTAATAAGATAATATATTTTAAATTTAAAAAGTTTAAAAATTGCCTGCTTCTTGAAAAATTTGATGTCAAAATCTGTTTTTCAGATAATCATTTTCATTATTTATTAATCATCTATGATATTTATATCACACATTATGCAAGATTTCGATTATTCTTTTATCAGAACTAATTAGCACAAAAGGGCTAACAGAAATCACCCACAAGCATCAGGATACCCACGATGGCTGAGTCATAAGCCCATAATAGGGTTGAAGGTGATGAGATTATGAGACCCATCCAGTACATGACCACAAAGCAACTCACCAGCATCAGAATGGTTTGTGTGATCCTTTTCTCTGGGGATGCTTTTGCAGAGAGGTTGGTGCTGGGAAGGTACTGAGGTTGTCTCTGATGTCTGGACAAAAGAATTTCCCTGTATGCACTTGAGAGAAACATGATTGCTACAAAGAAGACATCTGTAAGTAGTGGTAGCATGAAAAACAGACTCCTGATGATGTAGCTTATGTAAGAAAGTGAAGAGTATTTACTGATACTTAGCACATTGCTATTGGTCACATTAGAAGAGGCCACAGTGGAGGAGGGCAGGTTACTACTGAGAAACAAACTGAGAACCCAAAGAAGTGAAAGATGCAACGTATAAATTTCTGTTTAATTCTTGCCGACCAGGAGGTGCTGGGGCCGATGGTGATAGCCTGGAGCACACTCTGGAGGCAGGTGGCGCAGATGGAGAGCCCTCGTCCCTCTATGCATGTAGAAGAATACCTTATACTTGAAGTCATTCTGAGAATACAGTGACACTTACAGGTCTGGAGATGCCAAGAAGCTCACAGTGAGGAGCATCACTAAGTGGACAAGGGCCAGGTGACAGGCGATGAGGTCAGTGGGCTTAGGCTTGCAGTCCAGAGGGAGTGTGAAGATACAGAAGAAAAGGACGAAGGTGTTGGCTGTGAGTCTACTACCAGCTTGGAAAATAAGGGCAATTTTTAATAGTATCATACATGGAACATGGTCATCTTAATGGTGAAGAGAAATCATATTTTACATATCTGAAAAAAGCAAGAGATATCCTATCATCAGTATTATTTATTGCATGGTCAAAATTATTACCAACATTATCATTTTAATTTTACCCGTTTATCTTGATTAACCCCAACTATCTCATATAAATTATTTAAAATGTACCTGAGCATTTTATTTTACAACAAATAAATTGTACATATCTCAAACATCCACACATCCACAATCACACCTATGTAGGGTGCACATTATCTATACTCATATAGTACCTGTGGTTCACTCCTCAGAAAGCATTTCCTTCCTTTCTGAATTTCTCATATCGCTGAACATTCTCAGGTCTTGAATTTTGTTTCTTCTTAAAAGCTTTTCAACTTCTAAGAATATATGTATTTCAATGCTCAAAGACAAAAAACTGTCCACTAAAAATTTTATCCTCAGGAAAACTATCAATTAAAAATAAATAAAAATAAAGACTTTCAGATAAATAAAAACTGAGGCAATTTCTTGATGCAGACAGATCATTTGAGAAAGAATAAAAATAAGTTTTCAGGCTGAATGCAAGTAATCCCAGATAATTTTTTATTTTTTTTGAGGCAGAGTTTTACTCATTGCCCAGGATGGAGTGCAATGGTACGATCTCGGCTCTCCGCAAACTCCACCTCCTGGATTTAAGCGATTCTCCTGCCTCAGCCTCCCGAGTAGCTGGGATTATAGGCATGCACTACTATGCCCAGCTAATTTTGTATTTTTAGGAGAGATGAGGTTTCACCATGTTGGTCAGGCTGGTCTTGAACTCCTGACCTCAGGTGACCCACCCACCTCGGCCTCTCAAAGTGCTGGGATTACAGGCATAAGCTACTGTGCCCGGCCTAATCCCAGATAATTTCAATGCCCAAAAAAGACAAAGAGGACTAGTAAATGTAACAAATATTTAAGGCCGTATAAGAAATATTTTTCTCATATTATCTGATTGTCAAAAGCAACTTTGTAATATTGTTTGTAATTGAATCTTCAGTGGTATAATATAAGGAAATTTAATTTATTTGCCAATAACAGCACAGAGAAGGTGGGTTCAAGAAAAGATATATTGGGCTAAGAAAATTTTTCCACATAATAACTTGTATCCACAAAGATTTTAAAAAATACATTAGTAAAACTGAAAGATTAAAATAATACAATGAATAATAAGTTTAACAAAACAAACCTGTAAATATACAAGTGCTCTTTTTTCTTATTTCAACTTATTTAAAACAAATAAAATTATATAAGCAGATAACTATAAAAACATATTGTTGTATTTGTAACATATTTAGAGTTAAATAATAGTACCCAAACTAGGAGGGAAAGAGAGAATAAAGTTGTACAGGAGTAACATTTTCATAAAAACAACATAGCGTTAAAATGTGATGCTCCAATTAATATGTACATACATACATATAGCGTAATTATCAAATTAATGTGATTAGCAGGTACTATTACGTGTACCTGCTGGTGCCCTGATCTTAGACTTCTCAGCCTCCATAACTGTGAGAACTAAGTTTAGACTCTGTATGAATTACCTATTCTAAAATATTTTGTTACAGAAATAGGGATAGCCTAAGACAGCATTCATGGACATCCATGCTGTACATTAAATCACCAGAACTTGTTTATTTTATATCTAAAAGTTTGTACTTTTGATCAATATGTCTTCATTTCTTCCATCCACCACCCCCTAGGAACCACTGTGTACTCTCTGTTTCTATGACTTTGACATTTTTGGCTTCATATATGCATGAAATCAAACACTATTTGTCATTCTGTGTCTAGCTTATTTCACTTAAGCTAATGTCCTCTAGGTTAATTCATATTCTTGCAAATGGCAGAATTCTCTTTTTTATGGCTGAATAATATTCCTTTATATAAATGTTCCATAATTTCTTTATCCATTCATCTATTAATGGATACATAGATTGTTTGCATGTCTCAGTCATTGTAAATAATTCTGCAATGAATTTAGAAGTGCTGATGTCTCTTCTAGAGACTAATTTTATTTTCTTTGGTTATATATCTGGAAGTGAAATTGGTGGATAAGATGGCAACTCTATTTTAATTATTTGAAAAAGCTTCACAGTGTTTTTTATAATGGTTGTACTAATATTTTTGTATTTTTAAGGGCATGTTGTGTTGGGAGACAATTTTTATAGACCTGTTGGTTAATTTGTTTTATGTCTTATATAAGCTTCTGTTGGGACAATCTTGTCAAGGATGTTTTTAAATAACTGACAGCCTTGTGTGAAGTGAGTAGTGTCTCTTTTTAGAGCAGAGGTCAAATACATACATAAATAATTTAATAAAAAGTATGTTTTCCCCAGAGGCAAAGGTTGGGAAGGTTTATTTGAAACACTTTATTGTTTTTTCAGCAAAATTCTCTGTATTTTGGTGAAGTAAGAGAGTAGTCCTTGAATGGAGGAGAGGACAAAAGGCAACTCCCAAAATACATGATGTGCCGAACCCCAAAGTCCAGTGGAAGTCACATCAGGCACAAATTCCAGAGAGATTCTGAGTGAAATCTCTGCTAGAAAATTTAGCCATATGAGATGAAGGAGTTCCCCAAATTTAGAGGTATCTCCTAAGCCAAGAAACAAAATGATGGAGGGGGGCAGGGGCTCAATCCTTAAGGGTTTTTCAGTTTCAGAAGAACTGGGAAAGCACATAGGGACCCCCTCATCTAACAGGTGGGGAATATGAGATTCTGCTGCAACTTCAGGACAGAGATAAAACAGTGATAGTTGGTGGGCAAGGCTCCTTGGCATGGCGGGCTAAGATTAGCTCCCTAGTGGCTGGGAGTGAAGCCTAAGGCTCAAGACAACCTGTGCTCAGTAGGCAGGAAGGCAACTCATCAGCCTGGGTTTGATAAAAGGAAGGTTTGGAGGTATTTCCCTCAATCTTGGGGAGTGACCCTCGCAGCAGAAAAATTGTGGCCAGAGTCTGGAGCCACTCCTTTTACTGGAACTTGAGGCAGTCAGACAGCAGGTCCCGCATGGCTCGGGGCAGTTGCTGGAGATTTTTCTGAGGTCCAGGGACAAAGAGTCACAGCCCGCCATAAAGATAATCTGGTCATAGCTGCCAATGTGGCTATAAGGCAGTGAGCCAGTCATGAGCTTTTAGAGCACAACCGCACTGGCATAGACGTCTGACTGGAAGCTGAAGGGGTTTAGGTTCTGCATAAAAATCACCTCAGCTGCGATCCATAAAACAGAACCTGAAGGCTGCTTCGAGGGCTGGGCCCTGCTTCATTGAGTCTTCACTGTGGTCAGACAGGAGTCACTCATCTTTACTGGGAACGCTTTGTGTCAAAAAATGTTATTAGACTTGAGATCTCCTTGGCTAATATTCCTGTCATGGAAGTAGTTCATGCCCTGGGCAGTCTGCTGGGCCATGTCAGTTAGCTAGACTATGTAATGTAGTATAATATCATATCATATCATATCATATCATATCGTATCATATCATATATAATGTAACAATGTAATATAATATGTTGTGATATAATATATGTCAGACATAATTTACATAATGATGTCATAATACATTGTGATATCATAATATATGTACTATGATACCACAATGTATTATATATATCATAAGTAATACATTGTGATATCATATTATACCATAATATATATGGTATAATACATTGTGATATCATAATATAACATTTTGATTTTTTAATATATTTTATGAAATAACATACATTATAATATGATATCATATTGGACAAAATGTTATTATATTACTTTATATTACATATCATATTGTGATATTATAACATAAAATTTTGTCAGATAATCTTGTAGGAAAATTGATTTAAATTTTATAACAACATCGTCATATAAACTTAAAAGAACCTAAAAAAATTATCTGCTCTTGTGTAAATGACTGCTTTTTTGATAACTCTGTGAAGGCCAGCTATGGGTGTGAAAAGGGGTCTGCTACTTTATGAGACATTGACTTCCAAATCATCATGGTTATTAACCAGTGCCCTTGCAAGATAAGAGAATATTTTACTCTAAGAAAGCATTTCCATAGATACCATAATAGGAATTCTGCTCACTTTAGTTAATAAGTTACTATAAATTTTTTGGTTATTAATAGTTTATGTCATTATTAAAAAATAAACTTCTACAGATAACACATTGTACAGGTGTTTTGATTTGTCCTCTAACCTCAGGTCAAATTTAAAAATTTTTATTCACCAAATTTTATTTATTTTAGATAAAAGAGACCCTGTATCTACCATGTGCTGTAATATCTGTACTTTGTTAGAAAGACAAATTCTCAGACAAAACTCATACCTATTTTGAAATTCTCAGACCAAATTCAAGCCTATTTTTATCAAAATCTAGATTTTAGGTAACGTTTCTAGGTGTTTCCTTTCAATAAAAATCCAAATCAAAACAAATTAAAAATGGTTTGCATAGGTAATTCCCATGCATATCAATAATTTTTAAGTGGGGTACTTTCATTTTTAAGAGAGGGATTGTTTATATAGATGTATTGATGTGTCAATCCAGTACAGTTAAGATTTACCTTTTTTTTTTTTGACAGTATCTCAATCTGTCAGTCAAGGTGGAGTGTAGTGGTGCAATCACAGCTTACTGCAGCCTTGGCCTCCCAGACTTGAGCAATCCTCCGAAGTCAGCATCCCAAATAGCTGGGACTACAAGTGTGCACCATCACGCCCAACTAATTTTTAAAAAATTTTTGTAGAGATGAGGTCTCACTATGTTGCGCTAGTGAGGTCTTGTTATGTTGCCTGGGCTAGTCTCAAACTCCTGAGCTCTGGCTTCCCAAAGGGGTGGAATTACAAATGCAAGCCACTATACCTGGCCAACATTGGACCTTTCAATGAGCTCACATCTTATTTTTTTTTAAATCTAATTAAAA